ATACTAGTAATACTAGTAATACGAGCAATACTAGTAATACTAGTAATGCTAGTAATGCTAGTAATGCTAGTAATACAAAAATCTTGTCCCATATGTAACAGTCAAGACCTGTATACTCCTCGTATAGTCCCTGTAGACCTGTGGGCCCCCCTATTTCCAGCAAAAACAGGTTGGACACGCGTGGAACTGAAGATGATTTATAGTCCCCCTTTACATAGACAGAATATGGCTTTGGGTATATTCTAATAGGATCCCCATATACCCCATATTCTATCTACTTTAGGGGGACTATAGGTTTGCGTTTGCTAAGGCTGTTTCGAAAACCCCTGGCTCTTAACCCTGAACCATCGAGGTTCTCCACTCCACAAACTCAACGAGCAGGTATGTTACATACAAAACTGCTTTCGGGATCTCAGGCGGTCATCCTGGAAGGAAATTTAGGGTTCAGGGCTGGAAGATCTTGAGGGTTGTATGGAGGTGATAGGAGTCCTGTGTAGGGATTGTAAAGGGAGTTTTGTGAGAAGCTCCCTAATCGTGGGCGTTCTCAGGACCTAAAATCTACACCATGTTGTAGTTTCCTGAAATATGGGGAACCCAAAATAGAGCCCAAAATATTACAATCCCTAACCCCGAAAAGGCTCCCCTAATTTTGGGAAACCCCTATGTATCCTAAACTGTGTGGCACCCTTTGTCAGGCTACAGGAGACTAGCTCCACCAAGCCAAACTCCTTTGTGGCAGCTCGGCTACTAGCAAAGGAGACCTCAGGAATGCCCCAACGTCAACGGAAGCTTCTGAAAACGAGTTTCAAGTTAAGGGCGGAGGCTGAAGTCGATCTATGCTTGGCTTGTGGCCGGTTCATAAGAGCGTTAGTATGAGTAAGTCGGGACAAATTTGGTTTATAACAAGGTAATACCCCATGTTTCTCGTAATTACCTTGACAGATTACACCGGCTTTTCGCAAGAAACTTTGCCAGGTAAGAGTTGAGACAGGCAGCGGGGTTTAAGGGTCCAGAGCCGGCGTAATTGTTCAGGCGTCAAGGTACACGAGTCCAGGTGTACATGGTTAGGTTTAGGGTTAAGTGTTTAGGGTTTAGGGTCGCGCGTGGTGTTGATGTTAACTAGCCCCTCTTTATAGCCAGCCTGTTACCTATGCTGGCCACGCGCACTTAGCATGTTGTGATTTGTCTCCTGTTGCTGTTCAAGGTAAGCCTGTACCTCCTAAATGCCTAAATTCCTAAAGGCCTCCACCCTCAATCCTAGGCCCTAAACCCTGAAACCCTCAACCCTAATCTAAAGCATCCCAAAGAAAGGAGTGGCTGGATGGCCATGGATCTGAGTCTACCTCTGTGGGCTCCGAGAAATCCAGCTCCGCAATGCAGTCGCTTTCGGAGACAGAGATGTCCTCCTCTGTGTGCAGCCGCCTAGCTCATTTGGGTAGCCTGGGTTGCTGTTAAGGAACTTCAGTTAAGTTACCATAAATGGGTATATAGTGAATAATAGGGTATCCGAATTCTAGTAAGTTAATGTAAGTCCCTTAACAGCAACCCAGTAGCTCATGCTTGACAGCATCCCTGTTTGAGGTTAAGAGGGGGGCCTCAATTGGAAGTTTTTCGAATTCCGGGTCGTAGAAGAGGAATAGAATCTTACTAGGTTCAACCACCAGAGCAAACATGTACTTGTCGTCAGACTGAGCGCAGGGGCTTATGGTATGAACCAGTTAAGCTTAAGCATTTCTTGACTTACTCCTAGTATCCCGCTTAATAACCCCTATAATATTCCCCTATATAGTAAGCCTCTTCGAGAAGTTTAGATTGTATGGTTGGGGGGCATGGTTTGAAGAATCAGTCGGAGCCACGTCCTTAAGCTCTATGCTCCCGTCAGCAGGCATGGAACCTGACAACAGTGATGTAGCGGCCCAATAAATGCATGACAGAGACCTGACAATGATGTTGGTAGGGGCCCCTTGAAGGACTAGACCCTAGAAACCCCAAACGCTAAATCCTAAACCCCAGACTGTTGGCCGTTTGAAAGGGCTTTTTGAGTCCCATGCAAACTTAAGAGGTTCCTAATCAGCCTAACGAATTCTAGGGGTAGGGGAGGAGGGTGGTATAGCCGCAGCAGGGGAAGGAGAGGGGGAATGTGGTTGAAATTGAACAATCGCAAGCTCAAACCCTGGGCAAGTCATGGCGACCGCACCGGAACTTATCCCAAGCTGGTGGTGTACATGGAGGGTAATCCCCACATGGCGCAGAACTGTTGCAACTTACCCTAAACCCTAAACCAATCGGCGGGCGAGTGAGGGAGGGTAAGGCTCCGGGACTTGCGCCTGCCGACAGGCTTTTAACCGTGCTGCGGGTAAAAGAGGCGCTGCAAAAAAAACCTTAAACCCTAAAAAACACTAAGCCCTAAACAACACTAAACCCTAAAAACACTAAACCCTAAAAAACCTAACCCTAGACTCTAAACCGGGGTAAACTCCGCTCTGATCCGCCTGAACGTGCAGGTTTTCCCGGCACCACGTGGCTGGGCTTTTCATCCCAAGTCTTCTGAACCATCTGAGTAGTAATTTATTTGGGGATAC